CCACATCAGTTTGGGCAGCTTTAGAGTTTTGATCTTTCCTTTCCCCTCAATCCCTTTAGTGTGCCTTCCTTACTCGCTTATTAAATCTGGAGCTGTTCTTGTGATTAAGTGCACCCTTAATAACTGCCAGGCCGTTGCTCAGGAGGCTGAAGGGGTGGGCAGYAGTTGCACAGAAACAGCAGTTCCATTCCAGGAGTGCTGGCCCCAGGCACACTGAGGTTATGCATTAACCCTTGGTGCCAGTGCCCCTCACCKACCCAGGCACCCTGGGCTGCTGTCCCCAGGTGTCCAAAGGAAYGGGGAATTGGGCTGCAGGACCCCACATCAGAGTGGAACAGAGGTCACCCCGAGTCCCCCTCTCTGATCAACAATCTGCAGAGCACAGCAAAGTGTTTGTGCTTCCTGGATGGACAGGGGACTTATCCAAGTCACATAAATAACAAAAACAGAGAGATTCTGGGAAAATGGCTATCTGCATCCTCTTGAAATTGTTCAGGGAGGGAAGGTTAAATATTGTGGAAAGGGATGTTCACTTGTGTGGGATATTTCTTTTAAAGAAAAGCAACATTTCTCTAGTGCAAAAGCCCAACATCAAAAAACAGGGCAGCAACACAAAGTGCAAAGGGAAGGGCAAACAAGGGATGATGAGGGGAATGTGCACAGCAAAGGAGGRCTGTCCTCTGTCCCTCTGTGCCATAGAAACAACAGGGCCCTTGGTGGCACGAGTTGTTTTCCACTTGGGCTTCCTGTTTATGGCTAAAGTCACCCTGAGACCAGGCTTGGGCCCGTGCAGGTCCCTTTGCTGTCCCCTTCCCATCTCTGGCCACTCAGGCAGTGCAGCAGCGTGTCCTGCAACATGTGCTATTGCTATGTGTGCCATCACAGTGTGTGCCATTGCCATGTGTGCCATTGCCGTGTGTGCCATTGCAGCGTGTGCCATCACAGTGTGTGCCATCACAGCGTGTGCCACTGCAGCAGAACCCTTCCCCACACATTCCAGCCTGACAGGGGAAGGAAATCCAAGGGCAATTCCTTGTACCTGAAATATTGCTGAAGCCGGGATTTTGGCGAGCTGCTCAGAGCACCTTTCTTTTAGCACTTCCACGGGCCATTACCCTGCTGGGATTAAGAGCCCCCTGCCCCGCCGTGCGCACCCTGCCCCATCACCTGCCTCTCCTGGGCTGGCTTTTCCCCAGGCACTAATGAAATTACCACCGAGACTGATTACAAGTGGGGTGGAGCACTTTGACCAATGAACCCACACCTGCTCGCGTGGTTGACCTTTAATGATCCAGCTCTGTAATTGTGCGGTTTAATTTGGTTTTTTAAAACCCGGTCTAGGAGAAGCTGGAGTTTCATTTGCCATCAAAACATGACCCCTGCTGGAGAACTAAGGATGTGACTTCCATTTACCCACACAGAGAATGGCACAGATGTGATTAACATGACATGTTACAGCTGTCACTGGCTGCGGAAAATCACAGGCAACTAAAAAGAGACTTCTTAAAGTATTCACCCAACTGCAAGGGTAAAAAAGTTTTCTGGGGCTTTTTTTTTTGGTTGTTTGTGGTTTTGTTTTCATTTTTGAGTTTTTTTTTCAACTGTGGGGTTGTGTTTTACAGGATTGCAGGAACCTGTGAGCTTTCTCTGCAGGGCTATGTGTGTAATCCTTTTTTTAATGGAGGTTCTGGATATCAAATCTGTTGGCAGAAAGTTCTCCAAACACTCGCAGTGGCAACAATGCTGAGGATCTAGTTTGTTCCTAGACTTATACCAGCCTGACATTTTCCCAATGGCAAAATACTTAAATAAAAACAAAGAGAGTGTCAGGCTGGTAGGAGTTTTTTAAACATATGTCTAATTTACTGTGTAAGGAAAATAAATTCCACTTGTGAAGGCCCTAGGCCTGSCCTGGTTGCCACGTGGGCTGCAGCAGTTCCCTGGCCTGCTGGCCCTGCCTGTGTCTTTTAAAAGGGCCCAGCTGGAGCAGCATCACTGCCTGGYGAGCAGCTGATGTTGCTGAGTGGATGACAAAGATCCTGCAGGAGCAGGTATTGCTGAAATGAAACATCTGTCCAGCAGCAAAAGGTGTGTGTGTGGTGAGAAAGAACCCACRTTGCTGGGATGTGAAGGTAGAGGGGGTGGCTGGGTACCTGGGGTTGGCTCCGAGCTGAAAGAAGAGCCTACAGGAGGAGAAGGTGTCAGCAGCAGAGGCTGCTGTAATGTCCTCAGAGCCAGCTGAGAGTGGCAGTGGAATTGAACCAGAGCCTGTGGAGCAGCCAGAGGGAGCCCCTGAATTCCAGCAGGTGTTGCAGGACCMCAGAAGATGTTCCTGTAGGAAGAGTTCCCAGCACTGCTGTGTCCTGCTGCTTTGCTGCAGAGGGGCCCTCATGCTAAGCTGGCTTTTAACCATGATTCTGAAAGGTTTTAATAAGCAGCTCTCACAGGGGTAAAGCTGATGTTTATCAGATAAATGAGCATGTGCTGTATGGTTTTGGCTTAAATTGGCTTTCCTGGATGTGCTTGGCCATGACTGCAGGGGCTGACAGGGCTGGTGTGGCAGCGGGGCTGGAGCTGCTCATCCAGAATGGCTCAGGCTGGAGCCAGCCCTGTCTGGAGCAGAGCTCCCGTGGGATCCCAGCACTGACAGCTCAGGGCACTCTGAATTCCCAGTTGGCCTCACACAGAAACCAGGGCCATCTTGCCCTTATCCTGTGGGATGACCTTGGGATTGCTGCTTCGGTACCTGTGGGGAACAGCCAGTGAAGTACAAACCAGGGGCTGCCACATCAACATCTGCCCAAGGGTGAAGGTTCAGTGCCAAACAGGGAAGTGGAAACTGCGTAATTTTATAAATCCTGCTTTGTTGTTAAAGACCAAAGACTTCCTGTTTGGGGATCCCGGGCTGTTTCCACTTCCACTGTAAATGGTGAGAGACTGCCCATAAACCTCATGTTTACTTCACCATTTCTGATGCTTTCTACATGTGCTGAAACTGCTTTCAGGTGGCCGTGACATTTTGTCAAAAATAGAGATGGCAGTTGGGAAAGGAAAGAAAAGTAGTTTATTGTCAGCCTAAACTTTAAAAGCATTTTCTTTATTGGAGTTAAAGAGCTGAGTGCCTCACCAGAAATACTGCAGACCTTTGTCACAGATACTCCATTGTTACAAACCAACTGAGATTTCAATGTTTTCATTCAGTTCTTCCTCACAGTTCTGATGGAACAGAATATTTAATATAGCCACAAAATAATCTCAACAAATACTGCTGTGCAGTAATTYCCAATGCTTCCAGATCTCACAAGGGAAGACCAAAGGTAACTCTTCTGAGCTAAATGATACAAGCTTGAATGTTTAAAACAGGTAGAGACTATTTTTGTAGCTATCTAAATGCAGAAATAAGATGCGCCAAAATTCAAGTAGACCAGAATTAACAGCTACAGAGGAAATTCCARATGGCCATAAAAAACCATGGAAAGGAGCAGCAATTCCTCCATCCARTCACTGGAGTTGTCACTGGACGCTCGTGTGGACTCCAGCTGTCAAGGAAAGGGAGTTCTTTTAGGATACTTGGAAAGGGAGTGAGCCACAAAGATCAGCTGTGAAACATTTGGGGTCTGAGGAAACTCCCCTATCCCATTTTGCCAGCCAGCACTGCTGGAATCGGGGCTGTCCCTGCATGCTGGGGTATGACTCCAACCCCCACATCCCAGGATGGCACAGCTGGCTCCAACCCCACATCCCGGGATGGCACAGCTGGATCCCTCCCCACATCC